TATTTAAATAATTTAAATATTCCATATCTTTTAACTAAGGAAGGAAATATTATTGAAAAAAATGAATTATTTGATTTAATACAAGATTTAAATGATCTGGAAATTATTGAATTAAATGATTTCATTCCTCTCTATAAAATTCTTGATGAACAGCAACAAAGAAAAATTGATATTATTTTAGATTCTAATGACTGTAAATCATCTTCATTGGAAAAAAGAATTTCTGATTGATTACATAAACTTAAGATTAGATAGTAACTTCCTGTTTTTATTAATTGAAAATGTTATTTTATCTTTATTAACGAGAACAATGTTATTTAAAATTGCATAAAAAGCATTGTTCAAAGCATAAATATTAATAAATTAAAAAAATTTTGCTTCATTCAATTATATACAGTAAAGTAACTGATCAAATTTCGTAAATAAATTCAGAACTCTATTTATAAACAACAATGTCGTGTCGGAATTGTTTTTATGTTTTTTCCGTGTTGATTAATTTCGAACACTCATGAAGATGGCTTCATCTACTTTAAAAATTATATTCAATGTTTATCTTTCTTTAAATAATAAAAAAATTTTCATCAAATATAAAGAAACATGGGCTGGATCTATTCAAATGTATTTCATGTAAATAAATAAGTTAAAAACTTGATGGATGATAAATTTTTTATTGTTTTTTTTATTTGCGATATTAGTGTTTGAATCCATTGATAATGCTATTTGTAAATAAAATGTGGAAATGTAATCGTGAATGCTCAACGGAATGTAACAAAATCTTTCAAAACCGCAAGTCAAAGCGCGAAACGAATCAAATGAAGAAACAAATAAAATCGCCCGAACGAACATAGAAAATGTAAAAATATTTGTAAAAGATTATTATTTTGTAGACATTTATATAATCAATATTATCATGAAAGGAAAGTGTGCCCACTCACCATGTAATAACAAGTGTACTGTATCATTTCTGCATACATCATGTTGTCGTGGTTGTTTATAACCTCGCGTCGTATGCTTATGGGAATGAGAGCATCAAAAAAGATGTGAATTAAGTTGTGGAGCTTCTTGTCACAGACTGCCTTGTAATGCAAGGTGTAATAAACAATTGAAATGTGGACATATATGTGCTGGAGTATGTGGAGAATATTGTCCTTCAGAATACTTTTACGTTATCTGTGCTCATTAATAAAATTCAAGGTATGTCAAATCCTTATATTTTTATTGTCATCAATAATATTATCTTATCATCAAGAATTTATCTCTCAATTATTTTTTAAAAATTTTCATTTTAAAAACAGTGGCAGATTTAATTATAAATGCTACATTTAATGAGATATATTGGGATGATGTTTGTCCTTTTTCTTGTGGTCATATAATACAATAGAAACCATGGATATGCAAATGGAAATGGACAAATAGTATGAAGGTTCAGTTGAAACGGGAATGAAAACCAATCAAACTCTGCTTGATTAACAGATGCAAAAACATGTTGACCACCAATTAAAAATATTAGGAGATATGGCAGAATTATTGATAATACGTAAAACAAAAAATTCTTAATAATATATGATAGCCAATTACAAAAGGAATCACCAAACATGTGATATGAATTGAGCAACAAATTAAAAACAAAAGAATTGAATTAAAATATAGTTTAGACAAAATACCTCATTATGATCCAAGACCTAGAGATGTCGTATTTAAAGAGATTACAGTTAAAAATTATGAACTACCTGAAATCATGACAATAAATGTAACCGAGTTTGGTTTGCTCATGTCAAAATATTATCAGTTATAGGAAGCTAACCGCTATTCTTTGTGCTACAAAAAACCACCTCATAAAAAGGTTTGGAAGCCGTTTCTCTAGTTTGTAGGTATAATTATCGGTTTTATTTATAAATCTTTTTTTATTTTATTTAATAAAATTTTTTTATTTTCTTTTTAAACTAATTTAGCAAGAGAAGTAGCTGAAAGAGTTTGATTTCTCAAATACTTCAACTGGCAGAGTTTTACAAGAAGCATTTTCTCAAATAGGAATTTCAATGCCACAAGTAGCCATTTATTTATATGCACTTTTTGAATTAATCAATATACAAAAAATTCTATTCTACGAAGTTTATTTATAATTCAAGAAGTTTCTAAATTATTGAACGTTACAAACCAAACAATAATGAAATTTGAAAAAAATTTGCCGAAAGGTTTCAACTTTTTATTCACATTTTATTAAGGAAGTAGACATTTACTTTTAACCAATGTAGAAATATTAGAATTGGATCTTAAAATATTCAATATCGATTCAGATACCACCTAATGGAAGTAGCATTATTGATAAAAACTCTTCGAGATAATATTATAGAAAAATGTAAAAAAATTGTGGGAGGTTTTCGAATATGCTACAAGTGAAGATAAAATAAAGCTGCATTGACGTAAATGCTTATGCCGAGAATCTGGGAAAATCTATAAGCGATGAAGAAATGCATCGTGCAATGAAGACCAAATTTAAACGATCAGGTATTTTAAACATTATCAACGCTTGAATGCTCCACCCGTAAATAATTTATCATTTATTTATAAATGAATCTTAATTGATATTTTTTTCTAATAATTTTTATTTTTAGTATTCTATTGGGGAATGTAGCGGATCGATAGAGATGAGTATATGCCCAGAGTAAATAAATATTTTTGTAAATTGTAATCATTCGTCATAGAAATTATTTATTTGTTCATATCATAAATACTCTATTTTTGCGCGTTTTATTATTTGTTTCCTTTCATAAAAAATTATACATATGTAAATTTCACTTTTATAAAAAAATGTAATTTGTTTATATTTTTGATTTATTAAAAAAAAACTTATTTGAATTTCATTATATTTTAAAAATAATAAATCTTAAATATTATAAAATATTTACGTTAGAATGCAAGTCATAGTTTTGTCATAATTAAAGTATGGTTTAATTAAATAGCCCACGTATCATTAATTTTTTTTTTGTTTCTTGCATATATTCAAACAAGAAAAAGTTAAAATCTTTTAGATTAGTGCTTCAACGAAGTTTAATTCGCACGTGAAATAACCATGATGAACTACATTATAATTAAATCTATGTTTAAAGTTTCAAATGTAACACTTGAAAAAGCGAATATAAAAGTTAATAGTTAATAGCTACAAAAATTTTACTTTAACTAAACTTTCGCTCTGGTGCTGAAATTAAAACAAGTCATTTTTTTATATTATTTGGAAGTGTTGATTATGATATCATTCTATAAAAAATTTATTGTAAATCAGTTGCAGTTTTCATTTCGTCAAAAAATTCCTTAGTTAAAGTTAGAAATTAATATGCATAGTTGTTAATTCAAGGCAAAAATATCGTTAACAAATGTCAAAATTCATGATACGGACGATTACAATAATCACATAATAAATTTTTTGTTTATTATGTTTAATTTCAAAAATCCCTCTTACACACCACCCGCTATAATTTATAAGTTTACACACTCATAAAGGAAGACTAGACTACATGGTGAATCCGTCTACCTAT